CTGTAAGGGGTAGGTTTAGGTGTAGGGTGATAGAATATACAGTTTGTACAGTATAAAAACCATTACGCCTATGGAATGTCCCCATTTAGATAGCCAAGTAAATGTGTGTGTGTGTGTGTGTGAGAGAGAGAGATCAGGTTTCAGGAAGACTTGTATGGCTTATTCAGTACTCAAATGTTATACCTATCTATACAGTACAGTGGAATACAATAAGTTGCAAAATGCAATAAGTTTAGTTTACCACCTTACCCTATTAGTCAATCATTTTTTATTTTATTTATATGTTTACTATTATTTTTTATTATTATACCCTCATTGGGGGCTGAGCCCCCCTAAAACGAAAATCTTAGAATCGCCCCTGCCAGTCAGTGCAAATAACTAACAATATACAAAAGGTGATCTGGTTGTGATGGAGATATAGAATTGGTAGATGCTTTTTAGTGCAAAAGACTGTGCATAGTGCAAAAACAGATGCCTTCCAGTAATCATACAATAATAAGACATACAGATATTCTATTTATGACAGTAATGGCTAATACCAAGTTAGCGTATTGTACTAAATGGAATTAGAGTTGAAACTATTAATATGGCGATTTGTGGTTGACAGACGCTCAGAGGCGGAGCGCTGTTTGTCCGCTGGGGGCGCTGCAAGCGCGAGTGTGGCGCAGACAGTGGGGTTCTGCCCTCAATCACAATTACTGAGTTACTGAAACGCATTCTGTGTGCAGAGCTTCAGGAGTCAAAACAAGCAGCCAGGATGGGAGTCGAGGTTGAAACTATTACTCCTGGAGACGGTAAAATGCACCACAGACGGAATCGCATCCACAACTCACAAACCGCAATACTACTTATATACATATATATCAAATCAGCCGCATTTTAAATCGACACATTTTGCCTGTTTCGGGCAACACGGGCGTTAGCCTAATAGCTAAACACTAACCTCTTCCCACAGGATTTGCCGTTCATTTTGATAATTTTTCTCTTCTTGTTTTGAATTTTAGGAAGTACTTTCCCTAAAAAAGGACAGACGTGTGTCGTGCACTACGTGGGTAAGTTTGAGAAGTGATCGTGTTGATGAATCGCGTGAAGGGTGTTAGCTAGCATTAGCTGATTAGCCGCACTGACACAATAGACGCTTTCGCATCCGCGATCGGCTCAATCGAGGTTTTAAATCGTTAAGATTCTATCTACCTTTGATATTTGCGTCAGCTTTGATCTATAATTTTACTCAAAACTAATAAATGCGTCCAAAACCACGTGATTTGGAAACTGTGGCCTGTTTTTTGCGGACATAGAGTGGTTACACTGATGTCGTTAATGATGCGGTGAAAAAATAGCGGGCAGCCTCACCAAACTCATCGTTTTTTTTTTGGAGATTATAAGCGCGTCTGAACATCACATTCGAACGTTTTTACCGCGCTTATGATGCTCGATTCGAATGTTTAGATTCGAATGTTCTGCAGCTAAAATGTTGCAACTCGAATCCTCCGTGGGTGTGATTTTTTCTTAATACTTCGGTTTGAACGTGCCCTCGGTTGTCAGATCTTTGGATTCGAACATCCGGCGTCTATGATGCGCAAATATTTACAGTCATTATGTTTTCAAACCAAACTGTTTGGATGAATCCAAATTGTGATCTGCATCCACGGAAGGCCGTTTTAATATTTGAAGCTTACGGTCTTGAATGAATGAATGAAAAATGTTCGGTTTTTTTGGCAATGTGAAATTGTGCGTGTGCAGGTTGACTTAACTTCTTCGTTCATATCGGTGTTAATTCCGGTTTTTCTCAGGCTCTCTGACAGATGGACGCAAGTTCGACTCCTCCCGGGACCGAGGAAAGCCTTTCAAATTCAAAATTGGCAAACAGGAAGTGATTCGTGGTTGGGATGAGGGAGTAGCCCAGGTAATGTTATAAAACACATTCTTTTTGATATCCTCTGAAAAATGGGTTTGATTTGCAATATAAATCTGCCAGACCTACATTGTGCGGTTATCGAAAGGCACACCGTCTGTTCATAAAGTAGGTCTCGGCCTAATTGGAAAATTTCCCTTTTCGCTTCAGCATACAAATACACAAGCTGTCTATTGTGGTTCTTATAACCAAGTGGTGTCACTTCTTTGAACCTCCATTCATTGTTTCGTACTGTACTTAATTTGGCCAAATGACCTCTCCCCCTTGTGACAGATGAGTGTGGGGCAGCGTGCCAAGCTGACTTGCACTCCGGACTTTGCTTACGGGAGCAAGGGGCACCCGGGCATCATTCCTCCCAACGCAACCCTCATATTTGATGTGGAGCTGATTGGCTTGGAGTAAAGCCCCCACAATTGGACTCAGGTTATTCCCTATTCATTCTTTCAGGGTAGGTGCAAAGTTTTTCCACGTGTCTCTTTTGAGTTTGTTCATGTTACTTGGTATTTAATAACTGCATGACACCTGAAAAAAATACTTTATCATTGTAGATAGTTCCTCCAGTTGCATAGATCACTTTAATAACTAACCGATAATCTTTAAAGGAGATTATTGTTGTCTTGGTCTTAGATGTCCTGTAGTTTATTTAACAGGCTCTTAGATGAAACCCTCGTAATCGTATGTATGTATGGCCTTTGAGGAACACGGTTTAGTTGTTTAATAAACCTCTCTGTTTTCTTCCAGGTCAACCTTTTTAAGGAACATTGCTCCATGCACGTGATCCTGAAAAGGGGCTAGTGTTAATAGCGATACCACTTAGCTTAGCTCTGTTTTGCATTTGTATATTTTGTTGCCTTTTTCTTTCTTTTCTCCTTGACACAATCACTGGTATCCTCTCAATTATTGGACGTTCATTAAGACACAAGTTTCTTTTTTTTCCCCCCCCCCATTTCCTTCTCTCGTTTTATATTTGATTTCTGTGTTGTAAACGAAAAATAAATCAATAAAAATCACAAACTGGGAGATCAAGGACAAAGAGTCCACTCAGATCCAGTTAAAAGTTTTTGATGGTACGGTAATGCTAAAGTTATCAGATAGGTGTCGCTCTTCCTGTTTCTGAGGGACCGCGGCCAACCCGTCTTAAAGAGTGCAGCGCAACGGCACAGCAGCCGCGCAACAGGGAGCCCATGTTGTACACTGGCATGCCTTCATTCCGTGACCCCCGGCAAAGCCACGCCAGTGTGGGAACTACAGGAACGGTCACCGCTAAGAGGTCAATCAGGAAATAACGGCTCCAGTGGCTCCTCTGAGGGGGAGCTGATTCTGTGTCCTCCCCCATTCCATCTTCGCCACTGACCCTTACTACCGCTTCTTCTTGTGGTGGTGGCTCGAAAGGTGGTGACGCTCTGGGACAAGGTTGTTGAACCTGTGGCTTCATCAACACTGTCGCCGTCGTTGTTGATGATGTAAATTCAACTGTGTTGTCTAGCGGCAAAGTCTCTGTGACGTATGACATCTGAGCAGGGGAAGTAGTTGCAGAGGATGGCGAAAACACCTGTGGTTCAGCTAGAGTAATGTCTGGCACGCAAGTTGCTGAAGTGATGATGCTCAATTCCTCACCTGCGCCCTCTTCGGCGATCGAGGTTATGGTGGGGCTGCAGGCCTGTGACCGGTACCCTGGCCTGTCACTGACCTCCGATGCACTAGGGGGCGCTGTTGGCGGTGGTGGAGGCGGCAGCGGAGGAGGAGGTGGTGCTTCCTCCTGTGGGAGGTGCAAAAACAAATGGTGGTGTGGGAGGTAGGCATGTGGAATACAGCTGCAGTTGTTGTTAACAGCGTTAACAGCACGGCTAACGGGCAACACCGTCTCTCCGCTGCACAATCTCTCGCCGGTGAAGGATCGTGACGATCGTGACAATAGCGTTGCATGAGGAACTTGCTCAGACAGTAGAGCTGCTTCCAGAAGTAGATGAGTACGTCCGTCCCCTCTTGGTAACGTCATCGCCCCTCTGTTGGGAGGAATGTAGCGATCAGAACGTACGTTTCCGTTGCATTCTGTAGCACCAAGTGACGAGTCACTGCTCAGCCTGGTGAAGGTGGCGCTGCGACTCATGGTGTGGGCCGGAGAGCAGCCACAAGACCTGGATGCCCCAAATCGTGGGCCTATCCTACCGACACCTAGACCTTCAGACTTACAGTCCTGTTGATCTGCCTCATGGGCCCCCAGATTGGACCTAACAGTTTCCACAGTCTGCTGAAGCTGCCGGATCTCCTTCCGGGCCTCTTTTAGGGCCAACTGGGCCTCTATGCGATGACATTCCTCCTCAATCCAATCCTCCTGCATCCGAGTCAGCTGCATCCGTAACTCCCCGATCACAGAGTCTCTGCCATGATTAAAAAAAAAAACATGGGCATAGAAATAAATCTAGTGCTCTTGCCGAAAACCGCATACTGTTAAAGGGGTCATATGATGCGATTTCAATTTTTCCTTTCTCTTTGGAGTGTTACAAGCTCTTGGTGCATAAAGAAGATCTGTAAAGTTGCAAAGACTAAAGTCTCAAATCCAAAGAGATATTCTTTATAAAAGTTAAGATTCAGCCACGCCTACCTAAAACAGCTCGTTCTAACACGCCCCCACATACCTACGTCACGATCTCGGAAGATTTGCATAACGCTTCCCAAATGTTCACGCAAAGAGAGAAGGCATAACTTTTATTCTCGCTGTAGTATTGTTGCTGCCGCCATGTCGTGAAGGCGCTGTGTGTTTCGTTGTGAAAGCGAAACTACTTTGTTTGGTCTTCCAAAAGAGGACACGACTACAAATCAGTGGTATTTACAACACTGTTCCAGAACACTTCAACCCAAATATCCAGATGTGTGCAGCACATGTTATGGAGGACTGTTTCCTGATCCTGGAAAAGTAGACTACAATGCCGGCTGTTCTGACTCACAGACTGTAAGTAAGTTTTTT